AAACAAAAGTCCAGCACATTTTGAAATTTTGCCTAAGGGAACTGATGATTGATGTGAAGGAGACAACCTTCACAACCTGTGTGTTTTGGGGGAACTCTCCCCAAAAAAAGTTACCTTAAAGGTAAAAAAAAATGGAACAACAGGGTTGTACAAATAGAGCCAGACCTTTAGTCTTGTATTTTATTCAACAAAAGGATGTCTACTGATTCTGTTCTGAATAAGACCTCCACTAGAGACCTCCTTCCCCCATCAAGATAGTCTAATAAGATTAATTAACCAAATGGAAAATATACCAAATGGAACAAATCTAATCTTTGCAACTTTTGAAACCCCAAGGTGAAAAGTTCTTTCCCAAATCACCTGACATCCTGTCTCTATGACTCAATCTTCCAAATAATAGCAGTGGCTGAGCACCTAATAGGCTCATTTTGACGCTGGTGATGTCACACAAAAGATATGTAAAACCCTAAAAATGTACTTCATCTTTGTTCCTAGGCATGGCTATCTACTTGGCAACTGCCCATCAGTTGATGCTAATAAAATTTTTTATCTTCTATCCTTGCCTCTTGATTTATTGAGCTCATAGTCACCAAGGTGGGAAAAATTACTCCCAAAGAGGATCTCAGGTCCTCTGGGTTGAGGAATTCCTCAACACTGGTATAGGGAGCCAATGTCTACCTTCTTCTAATGCATATTCAATATCACAAACTACTACCATCTGTACTCATTTCCCCAGGAAGAAAAAGAAAAGAGAAGGAAGAAGAAAGGGGAGAGACATTAATTTGCCTGGGAAGAATAATAATTGATAGCTAATAATATTGATAGCTAACATTTATATAGCATTTTAAGGTTTACCTTCCAGCTCCCTTTTGCTGCCTTCCATATCTATTATGGTTGAGTACTAATTCTTCTGCTAAAAAGAGACCTGCCCTCCTCCCCCTCACCCCTTATACTACTATAAGAAACAAAAACAACATTTGGCTCGATTCCAGCCTAAAAGCCCTCACTTTCACAACTCCACATGTACCTACAAAATGCCCTTTTCCCTGCCCCTCTCACCACTTAGAGGCAGCTACGTGGTTAGGATAGAACACTGGGGTTTGGGTTAAATAAAGCATTCCAATTCTGCTATGGTTTTTACACTTGAGGGTGGAGGCCTAGGGGAGTAGATCTTCAACATCATTAGTGAGTAAAACTCAAGTGTGGAAAACCTGTTTCTGCTGAGGGAACCACTATCCTTCTAGTCACTCAGATTCATAACTTAAGAGTCAACCCCTCACTTTTCAACTCTCCTTCATCTTTCACATCCAATTAGTTTCCAGCTCTTGTCAATTCTATTTCCATAGCACCTCTCTATCTCATTCTCTGTATTCACATGGCCACTGCCCATTTCAGGCCCTCATAACCTCTTCCCTGGAAGATTACAAATTTCCTAATTGGTTTTCCTGCCTCAAACCTGTCTTCAGCACCGCTGCCAAAGAGCTATCCTTAAAGCACAAGTCTGATCACATCACTTTCCTGTTGAAGAGCTCCAGTCGTTCCCTCTTGCCTCTACGATAAAATTCAAACTCTTCTGTTTGGCCTTTAAAGCCCTTCACAACCTATCTCCAATTTACCTTCTAGTTTTATTACATAATTACTTTCCTTCAACGCTCTCTGGCCCAACCAATCTAGCCTTGCCATCCTTCATATACTACGCTCTATCTCCATAGTTTTGTTGTTGTTCAGTCATATCTGACTCTTCATGATCCCATGGCCTACAGCGCACCAATACTGTCCATGGGGTTTCCTTGGCAAAGGTACTGAAATGGTTTCCTTCTCTAGTGGGATGAGGCAAATAGAGGTTAAGTGACTTGCCCAAGGTCACACAGCTAGTAAGGGTCTGAGGCTGCATTTGAACTCAGGTCTTTCTGACTACAGGCCTAGTGCTCTATTCACTGAGCCACCTAGCTGCCTCCCCATAGCTTTGTACAGTTCACCAAAATTCCCTTCTCACCCATCTCTTAGAATCCTTAGTTTCCTTCAAAACTCAGGTCAAACACTATGTACAGGCATACCTCATTTTACTGTGCTTCGCAAATATTGCATTTTTATCTTTTTTTATAAATTGAAGGTTTGTGACAACCCTGCATCAAGCAAGACTGTCAGTGCCATTTTTCTAACATGTGCTCACATCGTGTCTCTGTGTCACATTTTGGTAATTCTTGCAATATTACAAATTTTTCATTATTACTATATCTGTTATGATCCATGATCAGCAATCTTTGAAGTTACTTTTGTAATTGTTTTGGGGTACCCATAAATTGCACCCATATAAAATGGCAAACTTAATAATGGTTGTGTGTGTGTTCTGGCTGCTCCACCGACATCTCTCCTCAGGTCTTCCTATTCCCTGAGATACAACAATATTGAAATTAGGCTAGTTAATAATGCTACAATGGCCTCAACGTGTTCAAGTGAAAGGAAGAATCATTTGGTGTGGCAAATTTCATTGTTGTCTTATTTTCTTAAAATAAGCCACCCCAACATTCAGCAACCACCAGCCTGATAGGTCAGCAGTCACCAAGATGGAGGCAAGACCCTCACCTGCAAAAAGATTACCAATCACTGAAGACTCAGATGATGGTTAGCATTTTTTAGCAATAAAGTATTTTTTAATTAAGGCACGTGCATTTTTTTAGACACAATACTAATGCACACTTAATAAACAACAGTATAGTGTAAACATAACTTTTATATGTCCTGTGAAACCAAAAAAATTCCTGTGACTCCTGTTATTGCAATATTCACTTTATTGTGGTCATCTGGAACTGCATCTCTATCCTGTATCACAAACCCCCATGGCTCCCTTCTGGATGCTGCTCAAATGCCACTTCCTACAGTAGGCCTTTCCTTATCCCACAGTTATTATACACTCCTGCCCCCCCCACTCTGTATTTAAATGGTATACATTCTGTATTTACCTACCTGTGCAGCTGTTGCTTTTCTCCAATAGACTTTAAGTTCCTTGAGAGCAGAAACTTTTCATTTTTATCTCTGTATCCCAGGTTCTGGGCACACAGCAAGCACTTAACAAAAGCTTATTGGGTATAAAGTCCTTGCTTTGCTGCGAACTAAGTTTCATGATCTCAGGTAACAGCCTCTGAGAACCTCACCTTCACAGATTCACAGAAACTCAGAATTTACCTGAGAGATTTAATCCAACCTGTACCCAAAGTGTCACCAATCTACCCGAAGATGTGTAGTAATGGGAAACTCATTACCTCTGGAGGTATCTCATTTCGCTTTGGGCCTATATCCTTTGAAATTTTTTTACATATGTTATTTTCATTTTTTCCCTCAATTCCATGTAAACAAAAATTTAACATTCATTTCTTAAAATTTTGAGTTCCAAATTCTTTCTCTCCCTCCATTTTCCCCTCCTTGAGAAGGCAAGCAATTTGATATAGGTTGTACCTGTTCAGTCATGCAAAATATTTCCACATTAGCCAAAAAAGTTCTGCATTGAGCTTAAACTTATCTTAGCAACTTTTACCCATTACTTCCAGGTTTCAACCTCTAGGACCTAACTCCTCTCTTCAATAGGACAACCCTTCAAATCACTTGATTCTCAAGTAGTTTAAAAAAAAGTCTCTTCTCCAGACTAGATATTCCAAATTCCTTCAACTCATCCCTATATGCTACTTTCCAACAACATCATCAACTGGGTCAAGTTATGGACAAAGCTTTGGCTCCTCAATTTCCTTCCCAAAATTCAGCGAATATAAATGCTCTTTGCCTTTTGGGTTATGAAACTGAAGTACTTGCACCTGATGTACAATCCATCAAATTGAGGTACCAGCTCTGCCTACTTGGGGAGGGTGCCCTAAAGATAAAATGAAATAGTAGATGGATAGAACTTCAGAGATTATCTAGTCCAATCTCCTTATTTTATAAACGAGGAAACTGAGGCCCCTGGAGGCAAAATTGACTTGCCTAGGACTCTCTATCCGACCTCAGCTACCTCTACTAATGTACCAAAAAGTGTTTGAGGACCATATAAGGAGTAACTGCTTCCTCTCATTTCCTCTTCACTTCCAGAAACCACCAATCACTTTTTTCCTGATCCCACTTTACATCCTTCCTCCCTCGAAATCTCAGAACTAGCTATTCACAGGAGCAAGCCTCACTCTACTGGATTGAAAATGTGACAAATGTCACAAGTCTGCACTCATTGCGGGGCAGTCTGGGTCTAAGGCGCACAAACACGATTTATCTCTCTGAAAGTCGATCATCCTGCTCTATGTCCCTATGGCCGAAGCAAGCAAACACCGCTTGGGCTCAACTGGTGACTCCAATCTACCCGATTACTAAATGTTTATGGAAAGAAAAAAGCCAGCAGCAGCTGATCCAAAACAGGCTTCAGACAAACTCCTGGGTTTTTCATCTGCGTTCTAAAAGGCGCTGGACCTGAAAGTCCAGAGCCCTGGGTTCGAGACTCAGTTCTGACACTGACAGCTACTGGCTTTGGGCCCTACTTTCAACATATGTGTCATAGAACACAGAGTAAATTTATACAGAGAAATAAATAAATAGTAATAGTCGCAAAGTCTACCCCCACGGCGTGGCTTCAAGTGCTTTGTAAAATGCCAAGTGTGTGGTGAGGATTTCTAGCATTTGGAGAAGAGAGGCTAGAGCAAACATTGGAACCGGAAGGGCCGCCGTGAAGGGTCATCTAGTCCAATCCCTTCATTTTACGAACCGGCAAACTAAAGCCCAAGGCCCAGCGCGGTTAAGTCCAACCTCTTCGTTTTGCAAATGGGAAAACTGAAGCTCAGGGAGAGAAAACGACTCTTCCGCGATCACGAGCCACCCTATTTCTGCGCCCCAGTCCCATCCACCTGTCCACACCCCGTCCCCGAGTATCGCGAACCAGGGCAGGGTTGGCCGGGGGCCGAGCCAGGGCCGGGGAGGCCCGGGTCGGATGGGTTCGGGGGTAAGCGTCCTCCCTCCTAGCTCACCTCAGCTCTAGACTGTGCGACCTTCAGCCAGATAGCGATCCCGGGAACTAGAGCCGAATTTGAGTGACAAGACGCCGATGGCTATAAATGACCCCGCCCCGCCCGCCCCTTCTTCCCTCCATCGGTTCCAGTACTTGGCCCTTGCTCTCCCTCCTGCTCCCTCCCCACCTCCGCCTACCCGTCCTCGGGCTGTCCAGGCCTTTGCCTGACAGAAACTCCCAGCAGCCCCGCCCCTATCCAGAGGGGCGTCTTCTGCCCTTGAGACTGGAAAGGGAGGCTCTTCCGCCCGCGTCCGCCCGAGCAGAGGACCGGCGGTGCCTGCGGAAGCTTCTTCCCGCGCCTCGGTTCCCTTCCGGCAGTGTGCGCGGCAGGCCCGAGAGGGCAGCATCCCTGGCAGCAAGGACCCCTGCTTCGCCGCTGCCCGGCTCCCAGCGCGAGCTCGCATTCGCCCTCTCCCGTCCAAGATGGTGGCCTCCCGGGCAATTGGCAGCCTCCGCCGCCTGACGGCTTCCCGCGCCCGCCGCTTCACTGGTGAGAGTGTGGGGAGAGGGAGGGAGCTGGCCGCCCGAGCTGGGGGCGACCGAAGACCCCCTGGGGGAGGGTGGAGGGGATGCGGGGTGGGTGGCAAGGGCTGACCGCTCCTCCGGACCCTGCCCCCGGGCAGACTCCCGAGCCCGGCGGACCGACAGCCCTCGCGGCGTCCCGGCCCGGCGCGGCCACCTGTCTGCCTGGGTGCCCGGCCGGCAGCGGCTCTCATTCCACTTCTCCTTGGGTCCTGCATCCAGAGAGCTGGAAGGGACCTCCGGGGTCCCCTTACCCCCTCCAGCCCCCACGGAAGCCGAGGCCGCGGGAGGGGAAGCAACTTGGCGAAGGTCAGGAGCAGAGTCAAAGTTGGAAGGCGATGCCCTGAGCCCAGTCTCAGCGCTCTTTTCACTGCTGCCACCCGGACCCGCCCCTCGCTGGTCCTTCCCTGATCCCTGCGCTTCACCTGTCAGAATGCACCTTCCGTTTCTCATTTCCACCTCTGTTACCGTCAGAGCTAGTGTCTAGCTCTGAACTTGGGTTCAAATCCCACCTCTGACGCTTTCTAGCTGGTATGGCAATGGGAAAGTTCTTTGAGCCTGCTGTGACTCGTCAATAAAATGGGGAAAAGAATAGCTACCATCTCTCCGAATTAAACGAGATAATAAACTTTGCAAACTTTAAAAAGCCACGTACAAATTAACTTGTTTAAAGTACTCTTTAATGAAGACTATAGTACAGAACTTGTACTATCAATTAGGTTAAAAATACCTCATGTGAAAAATAATTTTTGTCCGGTAGACAGTGTTAGTTGACTATAATTCTCAGCTTGTTTTCAGGATTTAAACTATTTTTGCAGCAGGTGAGAATTATCCTGGTATGGTGGATGGGGAGCTGTTTTCAAATCCTGTTTCTGACACATACTAGCTGTGTGACACTGGGTAAATCCCTTAACCTCTAATACACCGGGCTGCTAGGATTGTAAATTTCAGGAAAGGTTGTCAGGCATTGGTAGAAAGGGTTTCCTATATTAATAAAATCACAGGTGTAGTCTCTACTGTTCTTGCAGCAGTAATGGTTAAAGGGCTAACTTTGGATTACTTTGATTTCAGTTCAATTCAGCACGAATTTTTATTTAGCTATTATATACCAGGAAGACCAGGGTTCTGACTGCTCTAAGGCACCTCAATTAAGACTGTAAATTACAAGCTGGTAGCCAATTTGAATTGCATTGTGTTGGGAATTTCTGATGGAGTTGAGGAAATTGCAGTTCTGACCAAAAAAAAAAATCACTTTCTGGAGTAACTTTGCAGTAAAAGGATTAATGTGGGTGAGCTGACTTCTAAGTTTGGACTTGGGGAATTTTCTTACCTATTTAACTTCGTGTGACCATGGGACTGTATAAGTAAAAATTCAATTGGAACTCAAGTCTTCTGACTAGTGTTAGAGCATAGGAATCAGATGATCTAGAGTCCAGTCTGCTTATCACAAATGAGGTGATCTTGAGCCAATCTTTCTTTTTAAGTTTTTGGATTTTGTTTCACCATCTGTTCCAATCCTCCATTTTAGAGTTGATCTCTGAGATCCTTTACAGCTCTAACATTCAGTGATTCCATATTCTTTATCATTTAAAAATTGTTTCCATTTATGCTGATGTTGAGAGGCCTAGCATAGAGGCATTTAAGTAATGTAAGTAGATAAGATGTTTGTCTTAGAGTTAAGAAGATCCCAATTTGAAACCTGTCTCATACCCTTACTAGCTGTTTGACTGGGCAAGTTGCTTAACTAACCTCTGTCAGCCTCAGTTTCTTCATTGGTAAAATGGAGACCTATTTCACAGCTTTTTTATGAGGGTCAAATGAGATAATATATATAAAGTGCTTTGCAGATTTTAAAGTTACATGTACATGTTAACTCTTATTAAAAGTGGAGAAAGGGCTAGGGGTGGAGATTGGAAGACTTGGTTGCAAGTTCTAATTCTGACATATACTGGCTATGTGACCCTAAGCAAGTCACTTAACCTTTCACTGCTCCTAGGCAGATCTCTGAATTATAAATTACAGATGAATTGGTAAAAGGTTCCACATCTAGAGTTCACCACATGAATGAAGTCAAACGTCTAGGCCAAAAAAACTGGGATTGTAATTACAGAAAAACATGTACATGAATTGCACAGAATGGGAAGGCAAGTATTAATTGATCTCTTCCTGGGGAGTGGTAATGAGATCATTAATCCAGTGTGATCTTAGGATATTTTAAGGTTTTTAATATAGCCACAGATTTTGACTAGTTGAAGGTTATGGTTGGAGATTTTTTTCTACCTTTGTGTATGGAATGTAATTTCTGCCTTAAACTGCCCTGAACCCAAGCCTAATAACTTATCAACTTATTCAAAGAAAGGAAATTGACCTCTCACTTTTAGGGGCTAATGACTTTTATGACCTTTGTGTAAATTTGAGGCTGAATGGCTGACTAGTGAATCTGATCTAGCCAAAACTAACTTTGTAACACTGAATTCTTAACCCTTTATCTTCTGTAGCAATGGGGGGAAAAGTTATTACCTCACTCTAATACAGCTTTCTAATTATGTAAGTGTTAAATGAATTAAAATTGTTTTTGTAAATTGAAAGTGTTTTCCTGGCAGAATGGATATTTTTACTAGCCCTCTTCCTTTTTAACTTAAAAAGTTAGTTTCCCTTCTCCCCTGTTTGAGAGGTTTAGAAAATGATTAAAGCTTTCATTTTCAAAATACTGGTTGCAGTTTCAACATAATCTATTCTTCTTTTGGAAGCCTAGTTAGTGGAAAACATATGTATATTTTCATAAGGTTTGGAGCTATTTGATTCAGTTTGCTGGCGTGTTTACAAAGTAGGGCAAAGGTTAAGCTCTCAAGTAGCAGGCAAACTGGAATGTAGGCCAAAGTTTATTGAAGCTGCTAGCTATGAAGTTACTTAAGTTAATTGGAAAATGGTACTGATTCTTGTTGAAAAGAACCTGGCAGTTTACTCTGTGGTTTTAGTAGCTGACATTGGTTAAACATATTATGTAACTACTCTGGGAATCTTCTCTAAATACCATCCCACCTACTGTTCCCCCACCTCCCATTTCAAATTGGCATTCTGTGGAAGACTTTTTTCCCATTTACTCTAGAACATTTTATAAATTAAAGCAGTTAAATTACTAGTGAGGAAATAGGTTTTAATTATAAATAAAAAAGATATTTCTGTGGAGCAACAGATATTTCCTGGTCAACTCTGGTAAATGTAAAAGTTCTATTTCGCTTGTCCTTAGGCCTTGTGTGGTTTGGTAGAACTTTGAAAGTTCATTTGAAGGGGCAGATAGGTAGTGCAGTGGATAGAGCCCTGGCCCTGGAGTCAGGAGGACCAGAGTTCAAATTTGACCTCAGACACTTGACACTTACTAGCTGTGTGACCCCGGGCACTTAATCCAAATTGCTTCACCAAAAGCCAAAAAAAAAAGTTCTTTGGAAATTTTACCACATTCTAAGGCCTTTGACCAGGTGTTATAGGAATAATTCACATTTATTTAGTACTTCAAAGTTTTCAGAGTGCTTTGCCTTATGATAATTCCTCAGTAGAATGCAAGCTCCTTGAAACCATGGACTGCTTTTGTGTCTCAGTGCCCTGCTTAGGCTTAAATGTTTATTAAATATGTTAGCTAATTCTGTGAGTGCAGGAGTATACAATCCCTATTTTACAGATGAGGAAACTGAGGAATTGTGAAGTTAAATGGCTTGCCCTGGATCACTCACAGCTGGGCTTCAACATTTATTGTGTTAAAGCTTTTTTTTATGAGGTAGTTTTGTGATCAGTTAGTGGTTGATTTGGATTTAGTCATCTGTGTTGCATAAAAGGCTATCTTTATTTCAACCACTTGAATATTCATTTACTCATATGTTCCTGAAATATTTATGCTTTCAACTCTTTTTCTGTTGTATGGCTTTGGGAAGTAGAAAGGAGTGACCTGGATTTTATCTTCTTACTGCTTACCAGTAGTGAACACCTGGATTTATTTAATTACTCTATTATTCCATATAACTCCATTTGGCAGCTATGAGGAACGAGCTTAAAGCATGTATTGTAGCTAAAATCCACTCTACCCACCTTTCCTGAAAACATAGGCCTTCATATTCACTGAACACATCCCTCCTTCCTCACATTTTAGGAGGCTCACAGGTGTTAGTGTCTTTTTTTTTTTTTAAGATGATGTTTTTCCACCCCATTCCCATAGATCATTCAAATAGGAACCAGGATATCCTGTCTTATTACAGTATCATTGTTGAAGCTTCTTAGGTGAGACCTGTTAATAGTCCAATTCTACTGTGCATGCATATCTGTGGCTACCTGATTATCCTGACCTGGACCCTGATAGTTGAGTATTTTGGGGGTCTTCTCAAGGTCTCTTTTTGATGTTTATCTGATAACTTTTTGGGGTCATCCTGTCTTCTGTGACTCTCCCTACTTTTCCTCCCCCCTCCCCCCAAATGCCCAGCCAAATTCCCTGAGATTAAATGCTTGAGGAAAATACTGAGGCTGTATATTCCTGTGTGA